TCTTCTTCGTAGCTCGATGTTGGTGCGTAAGCAACGAAGATGGTTAGAGCTGGGATTGAGCCACATCTTCTTAATCGCAAACGTCCGATTCGGGTTGTTAAGCTTTCGTACGAATCGATGTTCATGGCCAAGTGCGTATTGACGAGGACACCTACACCGCCGACGCCTCTACTGTCGCATGTTCCAAGGAACAGTTCTTCTCCAGTCTCAAATACAGCGTGCAGCGGGCGATGTCTTCTCGTCAGTCCGATGACGTCGTACTTGATCTTCCTAGCTTGCATCATCAGGTCTTCTATACACGCTTCCGATGCAAGCGTCCGTGCGTTGAAAGTACAGATCGCCATCCTAGTCCTTCTCCTTTTGGGCAGCCTGTTTTGGCCCTGAGATTTTAGCAGCCTCTCCCGAGCGGTCCTACCCAACGCTACCGTATTGGAGGCTCCCTCAGGTTCAGGGGAATGAGGGCCATTTCTATTACTGTTTTTGGCGTGAAGATACCCAACGTGCAGCTTGCCAGGCTCTAACGTGGGGGCTATTGACTTCGGGGGCTTGCCAGGCTATCCCGAAGTTGATTGTAATAAAACATCCAAAATGCCCATTTGGCCAACATGGTGTCAATAACTCCCCTATTGTAAACGACAGCATGGGTAATTTATGTCATAGGTAACACTAATAGATAATTATTGCGCCTTACAATTGGGAAGTCCTGGATCAAATAATATAACTAACTAATAATAACTATAAATTGGGAAGCTTACTACAAACAATGCCATTTCCGGGATGCGCCATGCACCCGATTTCCGTTCAAAACCATAGTGGCGTCTAAATGCGTATAGGGCTCATACAGTGAGTTGACAGAGCAGCCAATGCACAAGACAGCGCTAATCCCTTTTCGGACGAGTCCGTTACCATCTGGAGTGGGGAATGGGGGCCTTATAGGCTGAACGAGTACTGTGCCGGAATAAGAACGAAGAATTCCAGTGCGTGTGGTACATTTCTGAATTGGCTATCCCCTCATTAACACATCTCACATTCAGAACGATTTGAAGGCCCATGAAGAGCCTGTGAAGACCTATGATATAACTAGGAGGGGCAAAGACGAAGTTTCTTCTTCGATGAAATGCTTGCCCACTCGATTTCCACTCGCCATTGTTGATGTGTTCGTAGGTTATTTGTACTATAGGGTGCGGGTATTGATACAGGGCGTCAAAGACGGGTAACAGAAAACGATAAGGGGGTAAACAAACAACAGCCCCACTCACATGGTCGTTCACAAACAGCAAGACTTTGCAACAACAGCGGAAT